AAAACAGCCTTAGAATTAGTTAGGAGCAAGGGAGGAATCCCGATCATATGTGGCATTCTTCCAAGAAAGGGAGTGGGAAATGAATGGATATCGAGGGCACTTGGTGTCAATTGCCGGCTGGAAAGATATTGCAAATCAAATGCAATATCTTTCATAGACAACTGGGAACACTTCTATGGAAGAAATGAAATGTACGCTCGTGATGGGGTGCATCTATCGAGAGCTGGGGTTGTTGCTGTTGCGAATTCGTTGGAAGAAGTGGTTAGAGGTGTTTGTTTGGGTTTAAACTGTTAGTAGATAGAGGTATGGGAATTGATTTGGAGGAAGGAGGTAAAAAAAGTATGTGTTTGTGGGAGAAAGGAATTGGCAAAATGATCAGGGAAAGAGAAGGGCCTCAAAATAACAATTCACTTAGGGTATATTACACTAACAGTAGAAGTCTAAGAAATAAAATAAACGAATTAAATGCTCTTGTCTGCACAGAAAAAATAGATATTATTGCACTTACCGAAACGTGGATGAATGTAGAAAATAGAGAACTATTAGCTGAATATCAAATAAATGGATTTAAACTATTTCACACAGATAGATATATTAGACGAGGAGGTGGAGTAGCCATATATGTTAGGGACAATTTGAAATGGAGTCTCAAAGAGGGAATCAAAACTGAGCCACACACAGAAACTATTTGGATAGAATTAAACGAAAAAGCTAATAATATTATAATAGGAGTTATATATAGGCCACCAAATTTAGTCAGAATGGAAGCAAAGCATCTATGGGATGAAATATCTAGAGCATTTAGATCTAACAGTATTTATGTCATGGGTGACTTTAATTTTAGCGGAATAAACTGGTTGAACAAAACAGGGAATAGTGAAGCAGAAGATTTTCTAGAATTAATTGACGATTGCTTTCTTACGCAACACATTAAGGAACCAACACGGGATAATAATATTTTAGATTTAGTGTTAACTAACAGGGAAACACAAATTAATGACATCGAAATAGGGAGTGAGCTAGGGAACAGTGATCACAAAGAAATCAGATTTAGCATAGAATGGAATAGACCAGTAGGAGAAAATTCTGTTAAAGTGCCAGATTTTCGAAAAGCTGATTTTAATAGCCTAAGAAATTTTTTGGGTCAAATTGATTGGAAAGTCTTGGGTATGGGGTGTGGGCCGGTCTTGGAGCGAGACATGAACCCAGCGATAGGTGACTTAAATGGGGATTTCGATGTGGATTCAATATATAACTTATTTAAGAATATTCTAAACAAAGCACAGGAACGTAGTATACCATACAAATTGAATAGATCGAATACTAATGACCCAAAGTGGATAACAAAGAATTTGAAGAACCTTATAGGTAAAAAGAGAGCTTGGTACAAAAGGATTAAAAATGGGGAGGTCACTTTAGAACAGGAATTCGTACAACTGGTTAGAAATGTTAAAAAAGAGATAAGGAAAGCAAAAAGAAACTATGAAGTTCGCATAGCAGGGCAAGCAAAGACAAATCCCAAAGGGTTTTTTCAGTAATATCGTACTAAGACTAGGGAAAGGATAGGTCCATTAAAAACTGAGACAGGTCAAATAACAGATAGTGATGAAGAGATGAGTAGTATTTTTAATAAATATTTTGTATCTGTATTTACTAAAGAGGAACTTAACAATATGCCTTCAGCCGAACAAGTCTATGTGGGTGGGGACGAGGACAGGTTGACGAGTTTAGCAGTTACCAGGGAGGATGTTCTTAAACAAATAGTAAAACTCAAACCAAACAAATCCCCAGGGCCGGATGAAGTGTTTGCCAGGGTGCTTAAAGAATGCAAAGAGGAGCTTAGTGACCCACTGTCAACCATATTTAATAAATCAATAGAGTCAGGCAGAGTGCCAGAGTTTTGGAAAGTTGCTAATGTGATACCAGTTTTTAAGAAAGGAGATAGATCACTTGCGTCTAACTATCGACCAATTAGCCTAACGTCTATTGTGGGAAAGTTACTCGAATCTATAATAGCAAATAAAATTCGTCTTCATCTTGAAAAACATAAATTAATAATTGAGTCGCAACATGGTTTTATAAATGGCCGTTCATGTTTAACAAATTTGTTATCTTTTTATTCTAGCATAGTTGAGGCAGTTGATAGTGGCAAGGATTGTGATGTTGTGTACCTTGACTTTAGCAAAGCTTTTGATACAGTGTCACATGAAAGACTGATTAAAAAGATAGAGTCTCATGGTATTGGGGGTGCTATATTAAGCTGGATTAGGGCATGGCTATACCAAAGGAAACAGAGAGTTAGTATAAATGGAATCAAGTCAGAGTGGGAAAATGTTGTAAGTGGAGTGCCTCAAGGCTCTGTCCTGGGACCTCTGTTGTTTATAATATATATAAATGATTTAGATTCAGGTTTGAGTAGCAACATTTGCAAATTTGCCGATGATACGAAAATCGGTAGGGAAATTAATTCGGAGGAGGACTCACTATCACTTCAAGTTGATCTAGATAGGGGTTTGAAATGGTCAAAGGATTGGCAGATGCAGTTTAATGCTGATAAATGTAAAGTTCTGAGGTTAGGTAATGATGATAGAGTTACAAGATACGATGTAGATGGTGTTGAGATTGCGAAGTCGGATTGCGAAAGGGATCTGGAAGTTATGATTAGTAAGAATTAAAAACAAAAGGATCAATGCATAAATGTTCGTAATAAGGCAAATCGGACACTTGGATTTATTAATCGCAGCGTTAGTAACAAGACACCTGGTGTGGTTCTCAAGCTATATCTTGCTCTAGTTAGGCCTCATTTAGATTATGCAGTTCAGTTTTGGTCGCCATATTATAGAATGGATATAAATTCACTTGAACCTGTCCAGTGTAGGATGACTAAGTTAATTCCCCAAATTAGAAATCTTTCATATGAAGAAAGATTACCAAAGCTTAAGTTGCTAGTATATTAAAGCACATAGGTAGCTCAGATTGATTGCAATGATAGTTTGAATGGTAGTTGACAAAAATTGGTAGGCACAATACAGCATATGGCTAGCACATAAAAGAAGACAGCAATGAAAACAATGATAAGGTTGTTTGAGTTAAATACATAAAAATTAGGAGATTGGGAAGCACTAGGTACAGAGTAAATTTAAAGCTCAGTGTAGGAAACTAAGAAGATGAAATTAGGTACTTTTTGGTTTTGCTTTTAGATAAGGCAAAAGTTTTACAGTTTTTCAATTCACTAGGGAGTGAGTTCCATAGACTAGGTCCCTTAATTTGCATAGAGTATTTACACAGATTAAGTTTGACCCTGGGGATATCAAAGAGATATTTATTTCTGGTGCGGTGATAATGGGTCCTATTACATCTGTCCAGGGAGAGTTTCAGAGCATGGTTTGCATTTAAGAACAGGGTTTTGTAAATGTAGTTGACACAGGAGAATGTGTGGAGGGAGTTAATATTTAGCAAGTTTAGGGATTTAAACAAGAGAGCTGAGTGTTGTATGAAAGCAGAGTTAGTTATTATTCTGATAGCAGATTTTTGCTGCGTGATGATGGGCTTAAGGTGGTTTGCAGTGGTAGACCCCCATGTACAGATACCATAATTAAGATAGGGGTAGATTAGTGCATAATATAGTGAGAGGAGAGCAGAGTTAGGAACATAATATCTGATTTTGGAGAGTATACCAACTGTCTTAGAGACTTTCTTGGTTATGTGTTGAATGTGGGTGCTGAAGTTGAGTTTCTTGTCAAGGAATAGGCCAAGAAACTTGCCATCATTTTTATTACTGATGTTAATGTTGTCTATCTGTAGCTGAATTGCATTTGATGATTTGCTTCCAAATAAGATGTAGTAAGTCTTTCCGATATTTAATGTTAGTTTGTTCGTTGACATCCATAAGTGGACTTTTTTTATTTCATTATTCACAACATTATTTAGTGTATGTGGGTTGAGGTCTGAATAGATAAGGGTAGTATCGTCAGCAAACAATATAGGTTTGAGAATATTAGAGACATTAGGCAGATCGTTTATATATATAAGAAATAGAAGAGGTCCTAAGATACTGCCCTGTGGCACTCCAACGGTAATTGGTAGAGCGGAAGAAGTTGTATCATTGATGGTTACATATTGGTGTCTGTCACTAAGATAGAATCGGATGTAGTCAAAGGCAAGGCCTCGGATTCCATAATGCTGGAGTTTAAGTAAGAGGTAGTTGTGATTAACAGTATCAAAGGCTTTTCTTAGGTCAATGAAAAGTCCAATCGGAAACTCATTTTTGTCAAGGGCTGAGTAGATAACGTCAAGGAGACTAATGATTGCATCGTTGGTGCTCTTTTGGGACCGGAAGCCAAACTGTCAGGGGCTGAGTATGTCGAATTTTAATCATGGTAATGATAGTATGGAATGTAATATAATGGTAATGATAGTATGGAATGTAATATAATGGTATATAGATAGTATGGAAATAATGGTATGATAGACAGTATACTTAGGAGCTACAAGAATTTTGCCTCAAGAGTGTAACAATTATATGCTGTGCTTACTATATTAATCTGCAATGTTAAATGTGTTTCTTGTAATGTTAATTGTCTATTTGTACCTACTGAATTTGTGCGCCCCTTGAGGGACTTAAAGTAGAGGGGGGTAGAAATAGCCTAAGCTACTCTATCCCTTTGAGATGTATTTCTTTCTTGTCTCAATAAACATACTTGAACTTGAACTGGAGGCAATGACAACAGTTTCCCCTCTCTCACTTGACCTAGATTACTCTCTTAAGTCTTTGAAATCACAAATTTGCCTTATTTATAATTTATTAAAATAATTAACATATACGCAAAGTACACAAAACGATTAGATTAATTAGAAGAGTTGACAACCCAGGTGTGGAAACAGGTCTGTTTCTCCCAGGTCTGTCAGGGTCATACATGGGAGACAAGGATAACGTGGAAGGTTCGACTTGAGTAGAAGCCTTGGAGGAGGTTGAGGCCGTAGACTGCTCGAAGCTTGGCTCAGATGTTAATATTGAAGTCGTCAGTAAGTACAGTGTTCAGCCTCTGAAGAACGTCGTCGAGGGCAGCTGGCTCTCTCTCACTTGGCGTAGCCATTTCAAATATGATTCTTACAGACGCAAGGCTTGTCTTCATCAAGAAACTGATTTCTAACAGCATAATGCCCAAACACTTGACATCATGAGAGTATGTCAGGTTTTCATGTACCATCTGTGTATCCCCCAGACACGCCAGGTCCTCTGGGCTGAAGGTCGACAGGGCCTCTGGGCTGAGACCCGACATTCCGAAGTCAATAAGGAATACTTCAGGTGGCTTACAGAAGTCAGGAGAGAGGGTGACCATGACATTGGAGGCGTGAATGTCACCATGTATAACTCCCCGCTCGTGGACCTCGCGCAGGCACTGACCAACCTTTAACACAATATAGACCATGTACCAGTCTGGTAGGTTATGCTGGAGTGCTGTAGCGAGTGTTATCTCGCCCCGGGAAGACATCACTATGGCTCTTGGGTTATAGCACAGTCCCAGGATCTTGGGAGCTCCTCCAGCAGTATCCAATCTTTCCATGATAATCAGCTCTCTCCTGAAGTCCCTTTCAGAGTTACGCTTCATCATCTTCAGGATGGCATGTCCGCCGTCCCAGGGAACGCGCCCCACTTTAGCATAAGCGCCTTGACCAATATATTGGGTCTGGGACATAAGGATATTGAGCTGAGAGCTGCTCACTAGAGTGCGAGGCTGCATGCTGAGCGGTGACCTGAGCGGTTGTTGTTATTGTTGTTGTTGTTTAAGAATCAGCTGCTGGAAAAAGAAGTTTCGAGCAGCACGGGCTATGGTGAGCCCCCGTAATGGACACACCACAGGAGTCTTATGATTGATTGATTGATAAAGATTAAGCCACCCAAGAGGTGGCACGGACATGAATAGCCCGTAATAGTCTTATGGATCCCCGCGCCGACTTTTATACAACAAGGGCGGTAAAGTGAAGTGAAAAGTGAAGTATACAACGGAAATATGCAGACGGCCTATTGGTCCATGCGTGGCAGCTCTTATATATATCTTCTCAGACTCATTCATATATGTCTAACCTACACTTGAAACAGTGAAGACACCCCACGTACATTATGTTACCAGATAATTTGTTACAAAGTAGTATGTTATCCAAAGTAGTAGTATGTTATACTTGTCGAAATTATAACCATCGTTACGTCTTCAATTTTGTGTTGATATATTAATTACCTTATTACTATCCCCTTTGTTATGCTCATTCATAAGAACATAACAATGAAGGTAACTGCAGAAGACCTATTGGCCTATACGAGGCAGGTAATATTTATATCCACTCAAACTCATTCAAATATATCTAACCTACGCTTGAAACAATCAAGGGATCCTACGTCTACTATGTTACATAAGAACATAAGAGTAAAGGTAACTGCAGTAGTCTTATTGGCCCATATTTATAACCACGCAATCCCACTTATGTCCTACCCACGTTTAAAACAATCAAGGGACCCCACCTCCACCACGTTACGTGATAATTGGTTCCAAAAATCAACAACCTTGTTACTAAACCAGTATTTACCCAGGTCTTTCCGAAATCTAAATTTATTCAATTTATACCAATTGTTTCGAGTTCTGTCTTGTGTTGATACTTTTAACACCCTATTAATATCTCATTTGTTATATCCATTTATCAACTTGTACGCCTCTATCATGTCACCCCTAATTCTTCACTTTTCTAGATAATGTAATTTAAGAATGAATGCTCCCTGGGATGCTCCTGGACGCAGGTTCGAATCCTCGTCACGGCTCTTGTGGATTTGTTCATTTGTTCAATGTAATTTAAGCTTTGTCAATCTTTCTTCGCAAGACAGGTTTCTAATTTGCGGGATTAACTTTGTCATCCTACATTGGACACGTTCTAGTGAATTTATATCCATTCTATAGTACGGCGACCAAAATTGAACTGCATAATCTAAATGGGGCCTAACCAGAGCAAGATATAGCTGAAGAACAACACCAGGTGTCTTCTTACTAACGCTACGATCAATAAATTCCAGTGTCCTATTTGCCCTATTATGAACATTTATGCATTGATTATTTGGTATTAAATTTTTGCTAATCATAACGCCAGATCCCTCTCACAATCCAACTTCACAATCTCAACACCATCTAGCTCGTATCTGGTAACTCTATCATCATTACCTAGCCTCAAAACCTTACATGTGTCAGCATTAAACTGCATCTGCCAATCTTTTGACCATTTCAAAACCCTATTTAGATCATCTTGAAGTGATAGTGAGTCTTTTTCCATGTTTATTTCCCTCCCGATTTTTGTATCATCGGCAAATTTTCAAATATTGCTCCTCAAATCTGAATGTAAATCATTTATATATATTATTAATAACAGAGGTCCCAGGACAGAGCCTTGAGGCACTCCACTTACAACATTTCCCACTCTGACTTAACCCCATTTATACTAACTCTCTGTTTCCTTTGGTATCGCCATGCTTTAATCCAACTTAATATAGCACTACCAGTACCATGAGCCTCTATTTTTTTAATCAGTCTTTCATGTGGCACTGTATCAAAAGCTTTGCTAAAGTCAAGGTACACAACATCACAATCCTTACCACTATCAACTGACTCAACTGTGCTGAAGTAAAATTATAGCAAATTCGTTAAACGGAAACGGCAATTTGTAAAACCATGTTGGGAATCGTTTATTAATTTATGTTTTTCAAGATGAAGACGAATGGTATTTGCAATTATCGATTTAAATAACTTTCCCACAATAGACTTTAGGCTAATTGGCCAGTAGTTTGACGCAAATAATTTATCTCATTTCTTACAAATTGGAACCACATTAGCAACCTTCCACGTAGAGTCAGGTAGAGTGCACTGGCACTCTACCTGACTAATGATTTATTAAATATGGTAAACAATGACTCGCAAAGCTCCTCTTTGCATTCCTTGAGTACCCTGGCAAACACTTCGTCCGGCCCTGGGGATTTGTTTGGTTTGAGTTTCACTATTTGTTTAATTACATCCTCCCTGGTAACTGCTAAACTAGTCAACCTGTCTTCGTCCCCACCCACATAGACTGAAGGCATATTGCTAAGTTCCTCTCTAGTAAATACAGAGATAAAATATTTATTAAAAATACTACTCATCTCTTCGTCATTATCCGTTATCTGACCTGCCTCAGTTTTTAATGGACTTATCCTTTCCCTAATTTTTGTTCGATATAACTGAGAAAACACTTTTATAAAAAAGTTTACAAAAAACTTATAACTTTTTAAATAAGTTATATTTTGAATCCACATCGAACTCCCTTTTTTTCATCACCCATCGCTGGGTTCACGTCTCCTCCAAGACCGGCCCCCCCTCCCCCTCCCCATGCCCAAGACTTTCCAATCTATTTCACCCCCCAAAAAATTAAGCCTATTAAAATCAGTTTTTCGAAAATCTGGCACTAACGGAATTATGTCCCACAGCTCTATTTCATTCTATGCTAAATCTGATTTAGTTGTGATCACTGTTCCCTTTATGTGTTGCTTAAGAAAGCGATCGCCAATTAATTCTAGAAAATCTTCAGGTTCATTATTCCCTGTTCAGTTAAACCAGTTTATTCCACTAAAATTAAAGTCACACATGACACAAATACTGTTAGACCTTGATGCTCTTGATATTTCATCCCATAAATGCTTTGCTTCCATTCTATCTATGTTTGGTAGCTTGTATATAACTCCCATTTTAAGATTATTTTCTTTTTCGTTTAATTCTAGCCAAATAGTTTCTGTGTGTGACTCAGCTTTGATTCTCTGTTTGAGACTACATTTCAGATATTCCCTTTTATTTCTGAGATAATGAGGATGGAATTGAACATATATAGTATTGGGGAGAGAATTTCGGAGATAAATGTAGCCCCCGACATTAGATTAATGTTGAACGGGAGACATCTCCCGTCACGCAGGGTGCAGTCGCACCTCCACAGATCTCCAGTATCATCTACTGATACTGGTTATGGCTCAAAAGGGCTACCACTTACGAGCTATTCATGCCCGTGCCACCTCTTGGGTGGCTTAATCTTTATCAATCAATCAATCTTAGATTAATGAGAGGTGAGGGAGCTAATGAAATAATGCTCTCAGTTCACAAGGTGGGGAAGTAATGAACAATGTACATAAGAATAAAGGTAACTGCAGATGGCTTATTGGCCAGTTACAGCCCCGCTTCTGTGCCAGGTAAGTCCACTACGGGCTCACCATAGCCCGTGCTACTTGGAACTTGTTCCGAGTAGCTGAATCTATAACAACAACAACAGCTTATTGGCAAGTTACAGCCCCGCTCCTGTGCCAGGTAAGTCTAATGCGGGCTCACCATAGCCCGTGCTACTTGGAACTTTTTGTTCCCAATAGCTGAATCTTAAACAACAACAACGGCTTATTGGCCCATACGCCGCAGCTCCTATGTCCAACCCACGTTTGAAACAATCAAGGGACCCAACTTCTATTATGTTACGTGGTAATTGGTTCCACAAATCAACAACCTTATTACCGAACCAGTATTTACCCAGGTTTTTCCTAAATCTATACTTCTTTTGCCAAAAATTTGGCAGATGCAGTTTAATGCTGACAAATGTAAGGTTTGAGGCTACGTAATGATGATAGAGTTACAAGACACGTTACAAACCTTACCACTATCAACTGCCTCAATTATGCTGGAATAAAATGATAGCATATTTGTTAAACATGAACAGCCATTTGTAAACCCATGTTGTGAATCATTTATTAATTTATATTTTTCAAGATGATGACGAATGATATTTGCAGTTATCAATTCAAGTGTCTTTCCCACAATAGACATTTAGTTAATTGGCTGATAGTTTGACGCAAGTGATCTATCTCCATTCTTGAAAATTGGTACCACATTAGCAACCTTCCAAGACTCTGGCACTCTGCCTGACTATAATGACTTATTAAATATGGTAGACAATGGCTCACAAAGCTCCTCTTTGCATTCCTTGAAGACCATGGCTAACACTTTGTCCGGCCCTGGGGATTTGTTTGGCTTGAGTTTCACTATTTGTTTTATTACATCCTCCCTGGTAACTGCTAAACTAGTCAACCTGTCCTCGTCCCCACCCGCATACACTTGTTCAGTTGAATGCATATTGTTAAATTCCTCTTTTGTAAATACGGAGATAAAATATTTATTAAAAAATACTACTCATATTTTCCTTGTTACCAGTTATCTGACCTGTCCCAGTTTTTAATGAACCTATCCTTTCCCTAATTTGTGTTCGATATAACTGAAAAAAAACCTTTAGGATTTGCCTTTGCTTGGCCTGCTATGCGAACTTCATAGCTTCGTTTTGTTTTCCTTCTCTTTTTTAACATTTCTAACTAGTTGTACGAATTCTTGTTCTAAACTGACTTCCCAATTTTAATCCTTTTGTACCAAGCTCTCTTTCTACCAATAAGGTTCTTCAGATCCTTTGTTATCCATTCCGGATCATTAGTATTCGATCTATTCAATTTGTATGGTATACTACGTTCCTGTGCTTTGCTTAGAATATTTTTAAATAAGTTATATTTTGAATCCACACCAAAATCCCTTTTTTTCATCACCTATCGCTGGGTTCACGTCTCGCTCCAAGGCCGGCCCACCCTATGCCCAAAACTTTCCAATCTATTTGACCCCCCAAAATTTTTGGATATTAAATTCAGCTTTTCGGA